CCCCAAAACCCCAAAACCCCAAAACCCCAAAACCCCTTTCAAAAACAAATATTTGAAACTTGATTAATTAACTTTAAGTGAGGCATTGCTTAGAGTGTCGATCTATGTAATTATTTTCTCCTCATCACTATCATCTTCATAGAATTCCTTTTTAGCATACTTTAGCGGCTTGTAAGTTCTTATTTTTACTGCCTTAACTTCTGACTGTTTGCTCCAAGGAAGAGCATCATCTAGATTTGTATTTAGTTAAGAGTAACAAAAATTGATAAAAAAATATCTACTGAATTTTAACAAAGCAGGGAAATTTTCATCGCAAGGACTTACCTTGATTGTTATCCCAACTCCATTCATCTTCATCAGATCTGTTAGAGGATTCTAATACATTAATTATGAGACACACCTGAGTCTTTTTGCCAACCAGTATTGATACCTGGATGGTATGAGTGCAAATCATCATTTAATGTTATCTGGGTAGCCTGAAATCTATTGAAATTAAAGAAAAGTATTTACGGTTTGTCATTATATTCTTCCCAACCAGTGTTAGTTGGCAGTTTATCCCATCTTATTTCTCCCTTGTATTTATCTAGAACAAATATGAGCTTGTTGGAGATTTTAGAATTTTAAGCACCTCCAAACAAATATTTTATGACAGATATGTGCGAGAGGAGAGTTTTCACTAAGAAACGAGGAGTGCTGATTTATCCTCATCTAAAATCTGCTTAAGCCTCTTCTTCTCTCAAAATATTGAAATCATTTATTGCTCAGGGCTGAGTCCTTACCTTCTTCATCTGATTCTTCTATTTCCGGATAACTAAAATATGACATAGAAGGTATTTTTATGTTCAGGCTTACTCACTATATTTGGGTTAGATATAAAAGGTATCAGGCTTACTTTAATCCGTTTATTTTAGGATTTCCCCAAATATCATCATTTTCATTGATGTCTACTTTAACATATGATAAAATAGTCAAAAATGTCATTAAAAATTACCAGTTTTTACTTCATATAGGTCTGTTTTATGGTTTGTTATTGCGAAAACATCACTCTGTTTACTCTCCTCTCTATCTGAAGTATCATCATTAGTCTGAGCTTGGTTTTCACCATTAGGATGAGAGTGTGCTGAGCTATCGCTACTATCTTCTTTGTCAAGATCGACTATTTCATTGTTCTCTTCACTTAGTTCATTCCGATTATTGTTCTAAATAAAGAGTAAGAGAATTTAGAGAGTGCAGAGTGCAGAGTGCAAAGATAGTTCAGACTGTACATTGATTTGTAAATGATCAAAAACTTCAGTAACCCCTGTAACAGGAGAATTCCTGTCCCAGCTTTGTGTCAAATTTTCTCCCTAAAATTTTCATTAGATAAATGTCAGAAATGAAAATTCTGTTTTAAAGGTGAATTCTATTGGTAAATTTTAGTTCAAAATTTTGAGTCTGAGATAAAGAATTCATTTCTTAAAATCCATTGTTTGTTGCATCAATATTTATCAGTAAGCAAACTCAACTGTGCATTATACATACTACATGATCTTTACTGTAAATGTACTGAATGCATTATAAATTACTGAAAAGAGCCACTTAAAATACTCCAAACAGCTCCAAAATATGAAATTCCTAACAGATATTTTCAGCTCCGTAAAATAAGCTTGCTGGAAGATAAATGACTGATTGAGCATGAACTCAAGTTTATCACATAATTACTTACAAATCTCCAAGCTCTCATATCTCAATTCATTTTTTGCTTAAATCAATAATTAATATAACTTAAGGGGTTTTGGGGTTTTGGGGTTTTGGGG